GGCGCTGAAAGCCACTGAATTGTATAGTCTAAAATGGGCAAATTGGTATGGTATGTGAATAATATGTCAACTACAGGCGTTGTTACAAAAAAAAATAGGCCACAGAACTACTTTTTTTTTTTTTTAAGAGACAAGGGGTTTTGTCCTCTGTCACTCAGCACTGGAATACAGGTGGCAACAATCAACATGCCATTGTACCTCAAACTTCTGGGCTCAAGTGATCCTCCTGCCTTGCCTTTCCAAAGTGCTGGGGAATTAGAGGGTAGGGTGGAGGATCGACCATCGTGTCCAGCCAAGGTCAGCTCTCCTAACCTCAAAATTCTGGGTTTTTTAAAAGATGGCTTAATATTTTACAGTCTCCTTTCATATTTATAGTTATTTAAATTTTACTTATTGAAATTAATAATTTTAAATTGCCCCATGTTTTTCTTTGGATGCTTTCAATGAACATACCAATAGAATAAGCATAAAATAAATGTAGAATGAACACTTGAATTTTAAAAATGACATGTAACTAGGCCGGGTGCGGTGGCTCATGGGCCTGTTAATCCCAGCACTTTGGAGGGTTGAGGACAGGCCGATCACGAGGTCAGGAGTTTTAAACCAGCCTGGCCAACATGGTGAAACCCTGTCTTCTACTAAAATACAAAAAAATTACCTGGGCGCTGTGGCGTGCACACCTGTAATCCCAACTACTCGGAAGGCTGAGGCCAGAAGAATGCTTGGAGCCTGGGAGGCGAGGGTGCACTAAGCTGAGATCGTGCCACTGCACTCCAGCCTGGGCAACAGAACAAGATTCCATCTCAGAAAACAAAACAAAACAAAAACAAAATTAGTCAGACATGTGGTGCATGCCTGTAGTCCAGCTACTCGGAAGCTGAGGCAGGAAGATCGCTTGAACCCAGGAGGCAGGAGGTTGCATGACCCGGATCATGTCCACTGCACTCCAGCCTGGGTGACAGAGTGAGACCCTGTCTCAAAAAAAAAAAAAAAAAAAAGACATCTAACTAAATCTTGTAATTATATATAAGGAAGTCATCAAAGTGGTAGTTTTCTTTTAAATATGACTTTATAGCTAACACCTATTTTACATGGATTATCTCATGTGATTTTTTTCTCAATTCTGAGGTCAGCAGGAAAGGTGGTATTATCCTCCATTTTTCAGATCAGTAACTGAGGCTCAAAGAGTAATATATATACTCTTTGACCAAGATAACACATAGTTCACTTACCCAGGAATTTTAATTCTAAATACAGTATTCTTCTACACTACACCAAAAGAACTGATTCTCTCTCTTCTTTTTTACTTGGCTTTTTTTTTCCTAGTGTAGAACCTCTTTTCCTCTTTTTCACTGACACATTAAATACAAAGAGCAGAGGAAAAGTAGAAGTATAATCATTTTCTTTTTTTAGTGATGTGGTCTTGTTACGTTGCCCAGGCTAGTCTCAAGCTCCTGACCTCAAGCTATCCTCCTGCCTCAGCCACTATGCCTGGCTATTTATTTAACTCTTATTTCTGAAGGAATGGAGAGTTTGGAGCAGGGCCATAAAACAATATTCCATTATCCCGTAGGGACACATTTATAGCACTGTTTTCTCCAAATAATTCTATGGTTACTCTATTTAGATAAAGCAACTGTGAACAGAAAATAACTTTCTGTTTTTCTTTGAGACAGTCTCGCTCTGCCACCCAGGCTGGAGTGCAGTGACACGATCTCAGCTCACTGAACCTCCACCTCCTGGGTTCAAGCAATTCTGGTGCCTCAGCCTCCCGAGTAGCTGGGACTATAGGCGCACGCCACCACACCTGGCTAATTTTTTGGTATTTTTAGTAGAGACAGAGTTTTACCAAGTTGGCTAGGCTGGTCTTGAATTTCTGACCTCAACTGATCTGCCTGCCTCAGCCTCCTGAAGTGCTGGGATTACAGACATGAGCCACCGCGCCTGGCCAGAAATTAACTTTTAGTGTCTACAATATACAGTCTAATTATATTTTCTGGAACTGCATATGCATTAAAAGTCCCCTATGTACTCTGTTCAGTTATCAGGACAGTAACTACATTATTCCTTATGTTTTCCTGTACTAGAGTTTTTGTCTAATCTAAAAAATATTATGTCCTTATTTATCAAAATGGACAGAGCCTAAAATATTAACTGCCATATATGATAGCTAATCCTAACATTCTATAAACATATAAAACAGACTCGCTTGAGAGAAAGATCACCAAAGTATTGCAAGGTAAATTGATCTTGCCTTGGAAAACTAATCTATCTCCAATCAAAATCAAGCAGTGTTTCTGGAAAGTCCTCTATTTCTGGCAAACAACTTAAGGCAAATCTCCACAGTTCTGTGTATTCTTAAAGCAATTCCCATATTAATTTTTCTACTCCAAGTCAGAGTAGGATAGTAACTATTACCTGAATTTCAGGAAGTAAACAACTAAGAAAAAGAAAGAAGAGACACAGGCAAAAAGCAGATATTAAATTTTTGATTCAAACTAAGTTTGAGTTAACCCAGTGTAGCACAAAGATCCCTGAGTACAAGTTAGAAGACATGAGTGTTAGCTGATTCTGCCTCTTGCTTATCTGTGTAATTTTGAGCAAGTCATTTTTATTTTGAGCAAGTCATCTGATCATTCTTTTCTTCATCTTTACGAAGGAGTTGAAAATACTTTTTTGTGCTTCTTATTCCCCAAGATTACTGTAAGGGTCAACTGACAAAGTATCTATGAAATTATAAAGCCCTATGCAAATGTAGAGTAATATGTGCATATATATGTGTTTATATGTATGTGTGTGTGTGTAGATGTTGATTACTTTCCAATATTAGTCAAGTTTGACTCATAGAAATAGTCTCTGACTTCTAGGAATTCACGGTTGAGAGAGGAAACAAACATTAAAAATAAACAATACAATAAAGGAAAAAGTAAGGTAACAGAGGTATATACCAACTGTTATTGGACCCCAGCAAAGACATAAAGGAATCTGAGGGGAAAAGTCAGTTGTCATAAAGACTACAACTAGGCTTCAAGGAAGAGGCTGAGTTGCTAGAATTTCATCCAGATACATGGGCTTCAAGATACATAAAGTATCATGAAACCTCTGTTACAACTGGTTCTGCCTTCAATAATTAAAAGTAGTACTTAACCTCCTTAGACCTCTCTTACCACAAGTCTGAAATAAAGGGTTTTGGCAAAATAAACCCACAAGTCCTTCCAGGCCTAAAATTAGATGGTTCTATGAGTCAAACTCTGGTCACTGTACATATACCAAGAAAGAGGGTTCAAGAATGTAATAAGCCAGAAGTATTAAAAAAGGAGTTCTCCACCAGGCACAGTGGCTCACGCCTGTAATCCCAACATTTTGGGAGGCCAAGGTGGGCAAATCACCTGAGGTCGGGAGTTCAAGACCAGCCTGACCAACATGGAGAAACCCCATCTCTACTAAAAATACAAAATTAGCCAGGCGTGGTGGTGCATGCCTGTAATCCCAGCTACTCGGGAGGCTGAGGCAGGAGAATCACTTGAACTCGGGAGGTGGAGGTTTTGGTGAGCCGAGATTGTGCTATCGCACTCCAGCCTGAGCAACAAGAGCAAAACTCCGTCTCAAAATAAAAAGGAGTTCTCAGGTGGGCTCAGTAGCTCATGCCTGTAATCCCAGCACTTTGGGAGGCTGAGGTGGGTGGATCACAAGGTCAGGAGTTTGAGACCAGCTTGGCCAATATAGTGAAACCCCGTCTTGACTAAAAAATACAAAAATTAGCCCAGTGTGGTGGCGTACTCCTGTAGTCCCAGCTACTCAAGAGGCTGAGGCAGGAGAATCACTTGAACCCGGGAGGCAGAGGTTGCAGTGAGCCAAGATGGCGCCACTGGACTCTGGCCTGGGTGACAGAGTGAGACTCTGTCTTAAAAAAAAAAAAAGAAGAAAAAAAGGAGTTCTCCCATTAACTGCTTTTTCTTGGAATCAGAAGTCTAAGAACAATATTTAGAAAAATATCTACCTAGAAAAAGCTGTAGCACAATGAAGAGTAGAAATTGGAAGGATATCAACAAGGGGAGAGGCAAAACAATACGTGATAGCACGGAATGAAGCATTCAGTTCTGCAAAGATATCACTTAGACCAGTAAGGAAATAGGTAGTATATAGGAAGTTATAATATTTACATTCTTATTCCAAGAAAAACTTGGAGTAAAACCAAAACCAGACCTTAAAATTTACACTTCCATAAAATGAAGTTGTTGGAGTTTCTGCCTTGGTAAACCACTTCTAAAAAAACCTATTTGTATGAAGAGTTCAGTTTAGGCATTATAAAGAAAAGGATCAAAAACCTAAATATACACAACTGAATTAGTTTCAGAAATGGTACCAAAAGTGGATATCAGATAATTCACCAAACATTTATTAAACTATGTTTAATAGGGCAAGTTGTTATAAAACACAGTCCAAGTACTCAAGGGATTCCCTGATTTAAGACTGTAAACAACAAACTATAGTAATTCTTACCCATCAATGATATTTTCAGGTGGGTGTTTTTCATCACTTGATGTAGCTAAAATCACTTCGGACCCTTCAGAGCTCAGACAGAGATCAATTTTTCTCATCTTAAAATGTTTAACCTGCAAATCAAAAAATAACAAAAAAAGCAACTTCTTGATTCTCTAAACTTTATCTGAGAAAACCAAGTGAGAAGGACAGGCTGTTGCCTAGCAGATGGTTTAACAGCCAAGCTATTCAACATGTGGGAGGGACTCTAACATGTTTGTTTATATAAGAAACCTCTCCCAGGGATAATCTATATGACATGACTATTTCTGCCACTCTGCTTCACAAAATAAGTCCCTGACTGCCCTAGCCAAACAAAAACACAAAAACACAGAGGTACAGGAAGAAGGTCAACAGAGGAGAACAACATGGAATACCATAAAAATACTCAATTAGGCCAGGTGCGGTGGCTCATGCCTGTAATCCCAGCACTTTGGGAGGCCAAAAAAATTTTTTTTTTTCTGTAGAGATGGGGGTCTTGCTATGCTGCACAGGCTAGTCTTTGTTTTGAGACGGAGTCTCACTCTTGTTGCCCAAGCTGGAGTGCAATGGCACGATCTTGGCTCAATGCAACCTCTGCCTTCCGGTTTCAAGCGATTCTCCTGCCTCAGCTCCTGAGTAGCTGGGATTACAGGCACCCGCCACCACGCCAGGTTAATTTTTGTATTTTTAGTAGAGACGGGGTTTCACCATGTTGGCCTGGCTGGTCTCAAACTCCTGACCTCGTAATCCGCCCACCTCAGCCTCCCAAAGTGCTGGGATTACAGGCGTGAGCCACCACACCCAGCTTGCTCAGGTTAGTCTTAAAACTCCTGGCCTCAAGTGATCCTCCTGCCTCAGCGTTTCAAAGTGCTGGTATTAAAGGCATGCGCCACTGTGCCCGGCCAGTATCAGTATTTTATAAAAATGCATTTATTCTTAGTTTTTATTTATTAGAATACAGTTTACTTTCTATTATATTTTAAAAACTAGTATCGATAGTATTAAAAGTGTGGTAACATTGGTAAGAAAACACATATATTTTAATTTTTTGTGCCTCTTTTCTCTATCAATCTTACCACAGCTTTTGATACTATTGATACCAGAGAAACAGTCAGTGTGGGATGAATTGTCAAGCCTTAGTTTTAAGAGGAGAAAGATGATGAATTCTGTAAATACAGATTGATAAACTTGAATGCTAATTCTCAACAAAACCCTAAAATTATTAAATTTCATTATTAAAATGGTAGCCTTGAAAATGTAACCAAGGAAGTACTAAAATTGGAAGTATCAGTAACATTAGTTTACAAGCTAAACCAAACCTATACATTTCTGTTTGTCTGATGGAATTCCTACCCATTTGGAACATGTTCTAAACATTTCGACAAAGCTTCAGACAAAGCTTCTCAAGATACCCTGTGAACCCGACAGAGAAATATGAATTGGGTGACAGCCAGTACTCTAGGTAGATATTTCTAACTCTGAGTGGCTATACTCAAAGAATGATGATTAATGGAAGAAAATGAACTTGTGGAGGACTTCTATCCTTATCCTACTCAACATTTTTATTAATTAAGGATGCACAAAGTATGCTCATCAATTTTGCAGACACAAAGCTTGGGATGTCAGCTGATACGCTAGGTGACAGAATTAGCATTCAAAAAGAAATGAGCAAGCTAGAAAGATGGCTTGCAATGAGTAAGTCATCTAATAAGGATAAAAGTAAAAACCTTTACTCAGTTTTGGAAAAAATCAATCATACAAGGGTTAGTCTAAATCAGGGGTTAGCAAACTACTGCCTGTGAGCCAAATCTAGCCTGCCATTTGTTTTTGTACTGCCCACAAGCTAAAAATGTGTTTAACATTTTAAAATATTTTTTAAAATCAAAATATACTGTGACACACAAAAATTACATGAAACTCAGATTTTAATGTCCATGAATTATATTGGAAAGTGGCTATGCTCATTCGCTTATATATTGCCTATGGCTGATTATATGTTACAGTGACATAGCTGAGTCACTGAAACAGACTACAAGGCCCATAAAACCTGAAATATTTACTATTTGGCCCTTTACAAAAAAGTTTGCCAACCTCTGATCTGATACATATAGGTTTGGTTGATCACAAAGTCAATATAAGGCAACAGTGTACTCTATCTGCCCCTAAAGGTAATGGAATGCTATCTTAGAGTTTAAGGAAGTACCACATTCCATCAACATTTTTGAACACCAGTTGAACTAAGGGCCAAGCACTGTGCTAGTATTGCAAAGACGAATATAACAACCTAGTGACTAAGACTTGGTTCTTGCCTTCAAGTTCAGAGTCAAGGAAGATGAATAAGCATGAAACTAATAGTATAATATACTACGTACTAGCATCGTGTGACGCACATCCAGAACACTGTGTTCAGTTCTGGGTAGTATGTTTTAAGTAGGACATCGTCAGGCGCGATATTGTTCAGAGGACAGTAAAAAGTTCATGATGATCTATAAACCATATTACATAGAGGAAGGTGAAAAATAGAAATATGACTACCATTTTTATTCTCAGTGGTGCTCACAAATGGAAAAAGGATTTTTTTTTTACACCTCCAGGGGTGTGAACTGAACTCAACAAATACACATTTTGAGCAGGAACTTTGGAGAGACAAGGACTTTCGTGCAAAGTAAAGATTTTAAATTTCTTTCATCCCTGGAAACATCCAAGAAAAGTCAGTAAAAGATCATAATCTACGGAAGAAGCCAAAGAAATCTATGGAGGAAGCCAAAGACAGGATTCCTGCATTGGTAGTTCTCTTGGACTGAGTCAAATTCTAGGAAAGGTAGATTGGGAAAAGATAACGAAAGATCTGAAAAGCCAAGTTAACGGCAATGAAGTTTATCTTGTACTCCGTACTCCAGTGGTTCTCAACTGGACTGGGGGTAGATTTTGGCCTCCAATGGACACTTCACAACATGTGAAGTTTTAGCTGTCACAACTTGGGAGGGAAAATGCTGCTAAATATACCATCATATAGAGGACAGCACATCCACAAGTAATTATTGGACCCATGCATAAATAGTGTAAAGCTGGGAAAACTATGCAGTAATCTATTTGGGGGTGGAAATGTGAGGGTTGGAGCTATAGGGAGATAACTTTTTTTTTTTTTTTTGAGATAAGGTCTGGCTCTATGGCCCAGGCTGGAGTGCAACCATGTGATCTCGGCTCAATGCAACATCTGCCTCCCGGGCTCAAGCGATCCTCTCACCTCAGCCTTCCTAGTAGCTGGGACTACAGGCACGCACCACCAAGCCCGGCTCAGTTTTTTGTTTTGTTGGGACGGGGTTTTGCCATGTTGCCCAGGCTGGTCTCTAACTCATGAGCTCAAGCGATCCGCCCACCTTGGCCACCCAAAGTACTGGGATTTCAGGAGCGAGTCACTGTGTCCGGCCAAGAACTTGTTTTTTAAAAAAGAGTTACACTTCAGGGTTGATATGGAGCAGATGAATAGGAAAGAATGTACTTCCCAAGTGTTCAGTTCTTTTCTTACCTCACGTTCTTAAGTTTTCTGAGAAGCAAACACATGCTTTAATGCAAAACTCATTTCACACCTTCTATATTCAACATTATCCTTCCTATTTCCTGTTTTGGGTAGAATTACTTAAGTAGAAATGGCAGAGACTGGGTTTTCTTTATCTTTTGTTGCAGTTAATGACAAGAGGCAACCAACCTTAGAGAAATACATACAATGACGCCAGTGACTCACGCCTGTAATCCTGACACTTTGAGAGGCCGAGATGGGCGGACAGCTTGAGCTCACAAGTTCAAGACCAGCCTGGGCAACATGGTGAAACCTCGAAACCCCCTCTACTAAAACTACAAAAATTAGCCGGACCTGTTGGCAGGCGCCTGTAATCCCAGCATTTGGGAGGCCCAGGCAGGCGGATCACTTGAGGCCAGCAGTTCAAGACGAGCCTGACCAACATGGTGAAACCTCGTCCCTACTAAAAATATAAAAATTAGCCGGGTGTGGTGGCGGGCGCCGGTAATCCCAGCTAATCCAGAGGTTGAGGCAGGAGAATCGCCTGAACCCAAGAGGCGGAGGCTCAGTGAGGTGAGATCGCGCCACTGCACTCCAGCATGGGCTACAGAGCGATGATGTCTCCAAAACAAAACAAAAGTGCAGGTTTGGGAGGTAGTCTAATCCCCCACCCCTTTAGAACAAGGTAATTTCCTCAGGGCCGCAGTTTACCAAAGGTGGTACACTCTGGGGTGCTATCCTTTCCATTTTTTACAATCCCTGACCCTGGAATTCCCTGATGCTTTATCCTGTCTTTCAAATTAGGGCCACTGGTTTCGTCCCCAGTTCACCCCTTCATCGCTAGCTCACATGCCCTTTGTGGTCCTTCTTTCTCCAAACCTCTTCAGGTCAAGTCCTTAGAGGACCTTCAACCTGACCAGCCCCCTTGGTTCTGGTGCTACAGCTGGACTCCTCATGCTCTTTCAAGTACCATCCATTGGGAATGTGGTGTACTTTAGAAAACGCGGACCCGGCCTACGGCTTGTCTCCGCGGGGACAAGGCCACGACTTCCAAGACAAACCAGCCCTGGCACCACCTTCTCACCTCCATCCCAAACCCTCCTCCTCAGTCCAAGGCCCTGCGGAGACAGACTTCCGAGGGCCCTAGAGCCTCAGACTTGTGGAGGCCTCGCCCCAAATTATGTAAAGAACATAATAAATGCCCCCGACCTTAAGTACAACTCATAGCTAGATGGGTTACGTTGCGGCTGACAGCTTACATTTTGGTACGCTAATTAATTTCGATTTACAACTGGTTTTCCCTTTTGGTGATCAAGACGCTATGTCTGGCCTCAAAGAGCTTCGAGGGCTGGCACTGGCGCCTCCAGGGTCTAGAGGAGAAGGCGGGTCCGCGTCAGACCTCCCGCGACGGCCCTTCCACGCCTCCCGTTGCTCGTCTCTTCACCACCCTCCACTGTTGCTCCCTTCCCACCAGCAACCCCTTCCTTCTGCCTTGCCCGGCCAGGCCCCCACACCCCCTGGTACCAGCCTGCCCACCCCGCGGCCCGCTCGCCTGGGACTCCCGTTAGCTCTGGGCGCCGTACCTTCCTGGCTCGAAACCTCCCTTTCGCCCCGCCCCACGCAGAGCGCCCCAACCCACAGCCCCGCCTCCTCGCCGCAGCCTCAGCGGAGTTCGGGACTGCGCGCGCTCCAACTCCGAAATCTTCGCGCCACGCCTCCCACAAGCCCCGTCTCACCCTCAGCCCCGCCCCCTCGCCGCGACCACAGCGGAGTTCCCGGGCGCGCGCTCCTACCCCGAGCTCTTCGCGCCACGACTCCCACAAGCCCGCCCTGCCCTCAGCCGCGCCTCCCGCGCCGCCGCGGCCTCCGCAGAGTTCCCGGGCGCGCAGGCTCCTACCCCGAGCTCTTCGCGCCACGCCTCCCACAGGCCCCACCCCGCCTCAGCCCCGCCCCCTCGCCGCGGCCTCGGCCCCTCCTACCCCTAGCTCTTCGCGCTACGCCTCCCACAGGCCCCGCCCGCCCTTGACCCCGCCTTCTCCAGCTCCCATTACTTCGCGGGCCAAGATGCGGAACCACTCCCGAGCGCCTTTCCCCAGGGCAGTCCCAGGACTTGCGCTGCCTACCCTCCCCCAGCTCAGCTGTATCCCTGGGGCCCGCAGGACCCAGGGGATCCGCCCTCCCGCGAGCACGCACGCGCAGGGCCCACCTCTGCTAGTTCCAAACCCTCGGCCCTCGGGTCGCCTGCCTGGGGCCCGGCCCCGCCTCTAGACCCGGCCCCGCCTTCGTGCCGGGGCCCGCGCACGCGCGCCTCCCCGGCCCAGCCTTGCCCCCGTCCCCGCCGGTCCCGCGGTCCCACAGCGCCTGGTTGCCCCCAGCCCTCTCCCTCCTCCCACCCTCGCTGTGTCCCACCCTTCCTAGCTTTGTGCCCGGGGTGCTGAGCCCTTCTCCGTCAGCCGCGCCGCGGGAGGAGGGAGCCGCCACAGAGGAGCTGCCGCTCGCTGCCCCGGGCAGGGGCACAGGTAGGTGGCGGCCGCGGGCCGGGCCGCTCGCGGGGCCCCGGGTTGCGTGTGGGAGCGGGGGCGGGGTGTTAGGGAGCGGTGGGGTGGGGGAGGGGAAGCCCGAGAGGGACGGCGGGGCGCGGGTTGAAGGGAGGATGAGGTATATGGGTGTGGACGATGGGTTTAAGGGTGGCGTAGGGGTGCGGGGGCAGGCTATGGGGACGTGTGAGAATTGGGTTTCGGGGCCAGGGTGGGATAGGGAGCAGGATTAGCCTGGGTGGACTCGGGGAGAGGCACGCGTGGGGAGAGAGCGGAACGAAGGCATGCGTGGGGAGAGAGCGGGAAGAAGGAATGGGGAAAGGAAATGGGATTTTAGGGGTTCAAGGAGGAAAGGAGCTAGGATAGGAATAGAGAGGGTGGGGTCTTGGGGACAGGGAAGAAAAGTTGGGGGTGTGGAATGCCAAGTTAGGGATAGGCGTGAAGGAAGAGGGTCTTGAAGATTGAGAACAGACGGCAAGGAAAGGGTTGGAGAGATTGGGGGCCTAGGAGAGGGAAGCCCCTGGAGTGGGAAGACGGGAAGAATAGATGGTAGAGGGAAGGAGTGGGGGTGGAGGAGTTGGGGAAAGAAAGGGAGGCAGGTGGAGGTTGGGAGATTGGAGGTTGGAAGGGTTGGGTCTGTGGAACAAGCAAGCCACCTTTCAGCAGGAGCACGGAAGGGCTGGAAGGGTCTGAGGCTTGAGGCGAGCAGGGGAGCTGAGGTGAGCGAAGGGAGTGGGGTTAGGATTTTTGGTGTGAGAAGCGCTAGAGTTGTTAAGAGTCACATTGTGGGAGAGATTGGCATGTTCTTGGGGGGCAGTAGGGAGCCTGAGAGAGGAAAAGGTATGGGTGAGAAGGCAGTAAAGTGCATATTATAGGAAAAAAGTAGTGAGGAAAGTTGAAAATTGAAGAATGGGGACACACAGAACAATGAAGGTGGATTGTTGGTTATTGCTGGTTTAGAACTACCCACAGTTTAGTTTCTGTTCAGGTTTTTATTTAGAAATTTTCCCAAGAATACTGCATTTTCAGATAAACTAAGTGTGGGCAGCCTTGGGATGAAGGCCATGGGCTGGCAGATGTTCTCCTGGTATATGGATGTAGCTCATTTTGGGCCTGGCAGAGGGAAGAAGGGAGGCCTCGTTGTAACTGTCCTGGCTCTGTTCCCACCAGCTCTTTCCCTAGATGTGCACCGGTTTTCGTTTTTTTTTTTTTTTCAATCTTATCCCTTCCCCCTCCCCTCAGGCTTCAACCAGTGAATACTAGAGGGATCAAACAGGTGGGTGAGATTAATTTTTCACATTTTTTTTTTCTATCGTTAAGGCTGATGTCATATTTTTAGTCTTGAGAAACAGCATCATGCCAAGGAAAGAGCTTGAGCTTTGCAGTAATGCGACCCTGAGATTGAATTCTGGCTCTGCCACTTACTAGCTCTGTTCTAGAGTAAGTTATTTTATTTCCGTGGGTCTCTTTGTCTATTAAAAGGCAATACTGACCTCATAGGTTCATTAGAGATTACATGAGATCACTTTATATAGTACCTAACAGTGCTTGGCAACTGGTAGGTGCTTAATAAATGGTAGCCATCAGCCAGTATCGTTAAACATCATAGTTATTCCTACAACTTACTATTCTTAGGGGATTTTTATCTTACTTTATCTTCTGAAGTTAGGTATTTTCTTCTTCTTCTCTTCAAATTAGCTGTAAATTCAGCTCATAATTTTACCCTGTGGGCTCCCTGATAACCCCAGTTCACCTGACTGGGATAGTCATGCTTTTTGCTTGGAAAACTGGATTCAAGGTCTAAAAAACTGTCATGTGTAGTATCAATAATTTTATCTGGCCTTTTTCAAGAAAGCTGTATAGAACTGAGTTTTTAATGTAATACAGCTATGTTTCATTCATTTGATGAAATGGTACACTTCGTGGTAACTTTGGCTCTCTTGTGGTGACCAAATGCTAGAACATACATGATTATAATATTTTTCTATGCTGTCGTGTGGGTTACAAAGCTGCCTTACTGTAGCAGGCTGGGAGACTATCAAAATGTCGCTGTTACTCTTGATCCAATATATAATACAGCTACTACGATCTACATTGGACATTGTTATTATTGTAGTGACTAAGTATTTTAATTTTTCAATTTGGATGGGGTTTTCACCATGGTTTAGAACAGGTCCATTTGTAATACACCACCCTGTACACCATCCTGTACATTAGCGAGGGTCAAATAAACCCAAGTAGAGAAGTTTTATGTAGAATTCTCTTGCCTTTCTTGTCCTTAGCCTTGAAGGGTTCAAATGTTAATTTAATGCTTAGATCATGTTATAGTACCTCAGATCATGTTATAGTACCTCATAGACTCTCAGGAAGCTCCTTTTTGGGAGAATGCAGGATGTGCTGATTTAGTAGTAGAAATTAAAGGACACCAGGATTCCTGAACCAAAGTCAATTCCTCCAGTGGCTTCTGGACAAATGATGTGGGTTTACTCTCCAGGAAAAAATTGTATTTATTTTTTCCTCATTTAGAAAGAGAAATGGTATTTGATGGGTAATCTAAAGAAAAACAAACAAAAAACCAGAACCGTTCCCTTTTTATCACAATGATCCCTGGAAGCCAAAGCATCCCAGATTTTGAGGAGCCCAGATTAGGGTCCTTACTGTAGTCCCAAGCTGCTTGTGCCCTCTGCTGGATGGAATCAGACTTCTAATTTTCATCTGAAGTGGTCACCCACCCACCCAGCCATCCATCCATTTGTCCATTTTACAACAGTATTTGTGGAAGACACTATTAGGGGTGAGGGTTGGGGGCAGTACAGATGAGCAGACCCTGTTTCATTGCTCAGGGAGTTCACAGTGTATTCATCCACTATAATAGGGTATCTTCCATAGAATTTGTCTTTCTGTTGTTAAAATCACGTCAGTCCTTTTTAGGGCCATACCTAGCATCTGCTTTCTGATCTACAGGTAGAGTAGAGCTCTGAATGTTAAATGACAGGGATAAAAACCAAAGGACATCTGCTTTACTTCCTCAGTCAAAATTAAGGTCTGCAAGGTTGGAGGATCCAGATGCTCACCCCTACTGGAAGAAGAGCTCAGAATAAATGAGGCATCTCCTTAGCAGCAGGCGCTGTAAATGCTGGCAAGAGAAAAGTATGGGTTGTAAGAGCTAGCACTGTGACAGAATTTTTTTCCCCTTGTTTTTTAGTTTAGTTGTCTCCCACCCCTTGTAGTACCAGTAGCAATATACTCCCATCGTCTGCTTTGCCTTTGCCACCTGCAGAATGGTCTGGCAAGTGGGGGAGGAGCCTGCAGCTGTTGCCTGGAAAAGGAGCTGGCTCCTAGCAACAGTATCAGCAGGCCCTGCAACTGAGAGCACTAAGTTTGTCCTTTGAGGTCTTACCCTTCCTTTCATACAGTTCAGCAAATATCTTTTGAGGGCTTACTTAGTACTAGGCACTATGTCAGGCCTGGGAAAGATAGATGAATCAAATAAGTACCTTGCCTTCAAAAAGCTCACCACTCTGGGTACATTAACAAGTGAACAGACATAGTACATGGTTCTAAGTGCTATGTAGGAGAGACTAGGTGCTCTGGGAAAACCAGACAGGCACATACTGGTGCAGGGGTTAGGGAAGGTTTCCCAGAAGAGGAACGATGTTAATGATGAGTAGGAATTAGCTAGGTCAGGGAGGCAGAGCAGGATGTTCCAGCCAAAGGGAACAGAACGGGCAATGGCCAGTGGGACATGAGAGCATGGCCAGTTTACCTGGGTAGTATGACAGGGCCAAAGATTGTAGGACATAAGAAGATGAGCAGGAAAGGGTGAGGCTCTAGAGCTAGGCAGAATACTCTTCTCTCGTGCTTTTATACACATAATTATCCTTGAGAGAAACATGGATAGTACTGATTCCCACACATAGGACCATTGTTTCATCTCCAGAGACTCAGCATTTTTGATCACGGACTTAAATGTGGCTGACACTCGTAAGTGGCTTCAGGGCCACATTGTGGCCCCACATTGATGCAGAAGAAGCTGAGTTGGTTCACTCTAAAACTCAATCATATTCTTTTAGGGATATTATCAGGCCTGTATGATATTCTACCTCTCTTCTCCCTTTAAATTGTAGAAATGATCATCAAATAAATACCTTCATTTTATTTAACATAGCACTTTTTCATGTATTTTGAAATCTCACGGTTACTCAGGAGGAAAACAAGTATTCCAGTTCTTGGGCACATAATATTACCCACATGACTGCAGAAATGCCCAACTGTTTGACTTTTTTATGTTAAAACTGCCCTAATAGAACTTTAATAGATACGAAGTGTCCAAAGGCTAGAATAGCTTTTATGTAGCTCTTGTAGTGGAGGTGTTTATTTCTAGATTTAAAAAAAATCCTGTTACTTTTGGGCTTTGTAAAATTTAGCAAATGAGTAAACGTTGGTTGCACACTCTCTGCTCAGGGACTGTAAGATGCCAGGGCACTGTGTTATAGAGTCTGCATGAATTCAACATGGTTCCTCCTCTCAAGGAGCTCAAAACAGCAGATGGCAGACTCAGAAACAAATAAATAGAACAGTGAACCAAGCGCAACCAAGAAGTTTGTGGACTGTGTCAAGCTAGCCAGGAAGTTATTTATTTCTAGTCTTTTTTCTGTGTGTAAACACATTTTTAAAAAATTTATAATTTTAATCACTTTATCACATTCCATGGTACGTATAAGTCGTAACGTATTTATTAACATCCCAATTATTGGACATTTAGGTTATTTTCCAATTGTTTTGCTAGTATAAACTTGCTGCCATTAATTTACACATAAATGAATCTTTGCTGACATCTGTGACAACTTCCTTAGTGTGAATTTTAAAGATGAGATTTTGACCTGGGGTTTTTGTTGTTGTTGTTGTTGTTTTGGAGTCTTGTTCTTGTCACCCAGGCTGGAGTGCAGTGAAACGATCTTGGCTCACCATAACCTCTGTCTCCTGGGTTCAAGCGATTCTCTTGCCTCAGCCTTCCGAGTAGCTGGAACTACAGGCACACACTCGGCTAATTTTTGTATTTTTAGTAGAGATGGGGTTTCACCATGTTGGCCAGGCTGGTCTCGAACTCCTGACCTCAGGTGATCCACCCGCCTCGGCCTCCCAAAGTGCTGGGATTACAGGCATGAGCCTCTGCGTCTGGGCTTGACCTGGGTTTTGAAAGATGAGTAGGAGATGGCCAGATAAACAAGAAAAAGGGGAGAGTAGGAAGGGGCATTCCAGGTAGAGGCAATAAAGGCAACCTCGAATGCCAAAGTCCCCAGGCAACTGGTAAGTTTTGCTTTTCCTAAAACAGCCACCAGTCCTGCCTGGTAGGCTCATAAAGCCCTGGGCACAGCAAGATGAAGTTACATGTTACAAATGGCATTTTAATTGGATTTGCTTCCCTGTGCCTTGCTTTCACAGTTGCTACCAAGGCAATGTCTTACTACCTCAGCTCAGAAAACCACCTAGACCCAGGGCCCATCTACGTGCGAGAAAATGGGCAGCTGCACATGGTCAATCTGGCTCTGGATGGTGTCAGGAGTAGCCTGCAGAAGCCAAGGCCTTTCAGACTATTCCCCAAAGGCTTTTCTGTGGAGCTTTGCATGAACAGGGAAGACGACACTGCGCGGAAAGAGAAGACTGATCATTTCATCTTCACATATACCCGGGAGGGGAATCTTCGGTACTCCGCCAAATCCCTCTTCAGCCTTGTCCTGGGCTTCATCTCCGACAATGTGGATCACATTGATTCCCTTATTGGCTTTCCTGAGCAGATTGCCGAAAAGCTGTTCTCTGCTGCTGAAGCCAGACAGAAATTCACTGAGCCAGGTGCAGGGCTGAGGGCTTTACAGAAATTCACTGAGGCCTATGGAAGTTTGGTGCTTTGCTCCCTGTGTTTGCGAAACAGGTGGGTGTTCTAATTAGGTTATTCAGTATTTTATTGGGTGTGTTAATTCTGTCAAGCTCTGGGGCTTAGTGGGCTCAGGGGCTTCCCTCATCAAATAGCACTTCAGGTTAGAACTTCCATATACAAAGTGAAAGACCATATTGAAAAAATCACTCTTCCTTCTCCTCACGTCTTAGACGAGACGACACTTTATTCTGAAATCATTTTACAAGGATTAGTTGTCACAGCTCCTCCATTAAGTAGAAAATACTCTTCTACCAGCTTTCAAAGAGAAAATAGAAAAGACAAAATGTGATCTGCCAAATATCTCTTGATATGCTCTTGCAGATGGGGAGATTAGTATCCAGAGTTTTGGGGCCTGTTTTTGGTTTTCAGACCACTAAATACTGACCATTAGATAAAAAATGACCTTAGAAGATTGGGTGATTAAAATTTCAAATATCCTAAAGTTTGGCAATTCTCAGATAAAGTCCCTACATTAAGGTCTATAGTCTAACAAAGCAGATATTTTTTCTCTTGTGACTTGCCTTTGCTCATATGCTTTATTTAAAATTTTTACTCTACCATCATGTAAAAACACTTTCAAAACATCTAATTTCTTTTTAAACTTGCAAAAAACAATAAAAATATACAAGGCAAACAATTTAAACACAAACACAGAGGGGCATAAAATGAAACAGAAGCCTTCTTCCTATCTCATCTCCAGTTTCCTCTCCCCAGAGATCAAATACTGTTACCAGTTTTTAAAATACCATTCTAAAGATGTTCTACACACATACATGTTTATGTAGTTGCCTTCTTTGTTATACAAATGGCAGCATGCTGCATACATTCTAATGGACCTTGCTTTCTTCACATAATTTGAAAATCATTTATCATCAATACTGGTAGGGTTTTTTTTTCTTCTTCTTCTTCTTTTGAGACAGTCTCACTCTGTCACTAGGCTGGAGTGGCAGTGGCATCTCAGCTCACACTGCAACCTCCAACTGCCTGGTTCAAGCGATTCGCCTGCCTCAGCCTCCCCAGTAGCTGGGATTACGGGCATGTACCACCATGATTTTTGTATTTTTAGTAGAGACAGGATTTCACCATGTTGGCCAGGATGGTGTCGATCTCTTGACCTCGTGATCCGCCCACCTCAGCCTCCCAAAGTGCTGGGATTACAGGCGTGAGCCACCGTGCCTGGCCTACTTGTAGGTTTTTAAAATAGCTTTATTGTATACTACTGTATGAACTATTCTGTGATTAGACCTGAAAGGCAGCTTACTGGTTTTTTTCTTTTTTTTTTTTTGAGATGGAGTTTTACTCTTGTTTCCCAGGCTGGAGTGCAGTGGTGCAATCTCAACTCACTGCAACCTCCGCCTCCCAGATTTAAGCAATTCTCCTGACTCAGCCTCCTAAGTAGCCGGGATTACAGGCACCCACCACCACGCCCGGCTAATTTTTTGTATTTTTAGTAATACGGGGTTTCACCACGTTGGCCAGGCTTGTCTCAAACTCCTGACCTCAGGTGATCCACCCACCTCAGCCTTCCAAAGTGCTGGGATTACAGGCATGAGCCACTGTGCCCAGCCAGCAGCTTATCTGTATGAGCATTATAACAAGGGCTGAACAAAAAATGTATGTAAGAGAAAGCCGTATCTGAAAACAGAAGGTAAACTCATATGCTTAATAAAGGAAAAATGATCTTTATTTAATCAGCTCATAGAATTAATGGTTTCACCACAGGCCAAATACTATATTTTAAAAAGAAAAGACATAAACACATGTAGAAAAGGACAGAAACTTGGCTCATAAACTGAGCAGGCACCTTGAAAGCTCTGTCTCTGGACTATGGTCTCAGTCGTGGCTGGGCTTGGAGCTGCTGCCAGTGGAAAGGAAAAAAATTACCTTGCCTAAAGGAAAAAGTCAAGCAATATTTCATTGTAGCTTATGCATTTAAAATACATTTTACCCTTCATTTTTTCTTCCAAGTTATTTATGTTTGTTGTTGAAAAGTTAGAACGGTGGCAAAATAGAATTGTGATGTATATCTTGTTTTAAAATTATTTTATGAAAGCAATATATACTATTTGGGGAATACATAAAATTGTGGTACTAAAAAATTCATAATCTCACGTGATCATTTTCAAATGTATTATTTTTATGCATTTGGGAATATATACTTCGTACAACTTGTATTCTGTTTTTTCCCCACCTACCTTTATAGCTTAATATTTCCCATGCTATTGAAAATGCTGTTTATCCATTTGCAATATCTGGATACTGTTGTAGTGGCAGATTGGTCGGACTGGAATGAGAATAGCACTTTTCATTCACATTTGATGAGGACATAAATTAGTGTAGCATTTCTGGAAGCAGGTTGGCAATATGTATCAAGAACCTTGAAAACATCCATACTGTTTGTTTGACCCATTAATTCTACTTACTAAGAATCTATTCTAATCCCTAATGTAATAATCAAAGATGGGAATGGATATTTTTACAAAAGAGTGTTCATTGTAGTACTGTTTGTAAGAGTGAAAATCTAAAAACTAAGTGTTCAACAGTAGGGAATTGGTTAAGCAAATTATAGTATATTTATATGATGAAATATTATGTAACTATTAAGATAATATTCTAAGAAAGAGATTTTTAAAATGTATGTACTGCATAGATAGAAAAAAGAAACCTACCAAAAAGTAGTCTAGATGGTGGGATTGGAAGTGATTTTATATTCTTTATACTTTTCTATATTTTATTTTTTCAATGAAAGTGATACATTGCCAGAAAATGTAAGAAACATTTACATTTATATAATAATCAGAAAATATAGGAAACTTTTTTTTTTTTCTTTTTGAGACAGGGTTTCACTCTGTTGCTCAGGCTTGAGTGCAGTGGCGTGATCTTGGCTCACTGCAGCCTCCGCCTCCCAGGTTCAGGTGATTCTCCCACCTCAGCCTCCCGAGTAGCCGGGACTACAGGCACCTGCCACCGTGCCCAGCTAATTTTTGTATTTTTTGGTAGAGATAGGGTTTCACCATGTTGACCAGGCTGGTTTTGAACTCCTGACCTCAAGTGATCCACCCACCTCAGCCTTCCAAAGTGCTGGGATTACAAGCGTGAGCGACCACGCCCAGCCAGAAAATACAGGAAACATTTTGAACATAATCTTTTAGCCCGTATTTTATTGCTGCAATTCCAGACTTGACTGTCTCATTCAAATGTAAGACTTTGAATTGTGATCAAAACCCCTCTTCTTTTGAATCCTTGAAGGAAAATAGAGGGCAGGAAATTTGAGGCTGCATTTGCAATCCAGGGCTGTAGCTGCAGTCCAAGAGGTTTTGTCAGCACAAAGGGGTTCAGGTCAAAAGTAATGAGCTTGAAAAAATAAATGAAAATAAAATAACTGGGTAGGTGCGGGCACTTGCTATCTTGGGGTTAAGTCACAAAGCTACCTGCCAGAAGCAAGTGTCTTTGCAACTGGATTCCAACCTTACGAAAACTCTCTTCTTTGTGTTGAAACCCCAGTGATTTTTAATCCCGCTGGTGGTCACCGGGAGGCAAGTATGTTTTCCTTAAAATACCACCTTTTGTTATTGACATAATAGTAATAGCTACTATTTCATGAGGTCCTGCAAGATGCCATGGAATTTTTAAATACTGTTTCTCTTTTTCTCAATAATCCTGAAAAGAAGTAATCATTGGCCCCATTGTGTAGCTGGAGAAATTGAGGGTCAGAAAGGTTAAGTAACTGTCTCACAATCACACAAGTAATTGGGCTGTTAGAATCCAAACTCAGATCTGGTCTGTGCTCTTTCTATTGCCTTTCCACTGTACCGTTCTGAACCCTTTAAGGGAAAATTTGGAAGACTGGTTGCAAGCAAGAACCTAGCGCTTCGATTATGTCCTAGATTAGCATCTAGTAGTGTCTGTGGCCTAACACGTTTGTTCCTCAACCTTGAGTTTCATAATGTTTCTTAATCACATTACACAGTGTTATGTCCTTTGCAGAGAACCCTTGTTTCAGAATTACTAAAAATCTTTTGGTTAATTGATCAAAGGATATGTGTTTTCCTTTCTCTGATTGCCAGTAATCCCCTAAATCCCCATTAACACACTTCAACTCTGTGATTGGAAGGTGAAAAACAGCAGCTGTATTTACAGTGCAATTAAAATACATCTGAGTAAATAAGGCTCTTTTGTGTACCCAGCTGAGCTTGATCTCCTGACAGCTTAGGTTCCACCCTTTAAAGGGGTATCAGTGCCTCAGGCCATCTGTACCTAGCAGCCAGGCCAGTCATTAGTTTGAGTACATCTTTTTTTGTTTGGAAGTAGGAAGAAAAGAGATTAACTCCCCTCTTGCCCTCTGATTATTCCATCCTGTTTTTGGCAGTTGTGATCCTGCTGATGGAAGAGAGGTGTGACCTCTTAGGTGTAACCCCACTGATCCTAACACACCATCTTACTGTGGAAACTTCTAGACATCCAAGAGGAAGGTGGATGAGAGAGGCCTGCTCTTGCCACAAGTCAGTTTCCCTGTCCTCTTAGGTTCCTCTCTTCTCCGTTTCCTGTCACACCTAATCCCTTTCATTTTTTCTCACTGACCTCATCTGAGATAGATGAACCACTAGAAAGCAGGACGGAGGCCCCAGCCTGGGCTGTGGAATGCTGTTTTGATCTCCTTTCCCTCTCCAGAGGCTTCCCTGACGCTTCCAGATAACAACTTGGCAAGGTGCTACAACGTAATTAAGTTGCCGGTGCTCAGGGTTTGTCTTAATATCCATCTAGACTGGAGTGAGTCCTTGTAGCAGTCTTGCTGTACATACTTTTGGAGTAAAGTTAGGGTAACAAAGGCACAGGGGAGTGTTCAGGAAAGATAAAATGTGATGTGCCAAATATCTCTTAGTATGTTCTGGGGGATGTGCAGATTGGAAACCGGTCTTGACCTTGCTCCAGTTTTCAAATCACAGGATGTTGAGCGTTAGATTAAAAGCGACTTTAAAAGAATTAGTAATTAAAAATTTGAGTATCCTAAAGTTTGGAAATTCTCAGGTAAGGTCCCAACACCAATGCCAAGGTCTGTCTGATAACAAAGCAGATGTCTTCACTTGTGACTTTCCTTTGCTAATATACATTTTTTAATTTATTATTCAGAATTTTTATTTCACCATCACATAAAAAGATGTTCAAGACATTTACTAATTGAAAACTTCAGCCTTTGCCCTGATAGTAATTAGTGAAGTCTGCTTATTCCATAGTACTGTGTCCTGATAGGGTGGTGGGATGTTGACTATGATAGAAATCCGCAAATGGTAATGCTTTAAGAGGAGTTGGGGGAAGCTATTGATTGCTCTCCATGCTTTATAGGTATCTGGTGATTTCAGAAAAACTTGAGGAAATTAAGTCTTTCCGGGAGCTGACCTGCCTGGATCTTTCATGTTGCAAGCTTGGAGATGAGCATGAACTTCTAGAACATCTCACCAATGAAGCCCTATCTAGGTACTGACCTGTCACCACTTGTAGATGAATTGTTTCAGTATTGTTTTAAAGGCTGATCCAACAGGATTATCTTCAGGAGTGCTGATTACTTCCTCTTCTTATGTTGATTTGCTTATTTTTTTCTAAAACATTGTCAATCTCCAAATCTCCATTTACTTGGTACAAGCAATGTAGATTAGACAACCCTTAGAAAGTCAGTCAGTTGACTCAAGTCAGTTAGTTGATTCTCTTTTTCTAAGTAACTTTTATTTAAACAGGTAATACTTGAAGCTACCTGGGTTGAAAAATGGTTTTGCCCTTTATTTATTCTTTTTTTTTTTTTTTTTTTGAGACAGTTTCGTTTTTGTTGCCCAGGCTGGAATGCAATGGCACAATCTCAGCTCACCACAACCTCCACCCGCCAGAGTTCAAGCAATTCTCCTGCCTCAGCCTCCCAAGTAGCTGGGATTACAGGCATGCACCGCCACGCCCAGCTAATTTTGTACTTTCAGTAGATACAGGGTTTCTCCATGTTGGTCAGGCTGGTCTCGAACTCCTGACCTCAGGTGGTCCGCCTGCCTTGACCTCCCAAAGTGCTAGGATTACAGGCGTGAGCCAACGCACCCAGCCCTATTTATTTGTTTTTTTAGATGGAGTCTTGCTTTTGTTGTCCAGGCTGGAGTGCAGTGGTGCGATCTCGGCTCACTGCAACCTCCACTTCCTGGGTTCAAGCTATTCTCTTACCTCAGCCTCCTGATAGCTGGGATTATAGGCGCCTCTCACCACACCAGCTAATTTTTGTACTTTTAATAGAGACGGGGGTTTTGCCATGTTGGCCAGCCTGGTCTCGAACTTCTGACCTCAGGTGATCTGCCCGCCTCGGGTTTTGCCCTTTATTTATCCAGTCCTAGTTTATTCTAGCAAGGGATGAGACATTATACCATAGTCAATAATCATTATCATTTGTTACTTTAACTATCAATGAGCTACAACTATAAAGGAAATGAGCTATTAAAGATAGCCAAAGAAATTATTTTCAGGAACCATGATTTAAAGAAATAGCCCAGCTCATACCATTCACAAATAGTCTGACTGCTCTCAGATTATTCTGACCAACAAAGAGGAGGACAGATGGATTCCTCTGTGGTTTTATAAACACCCAGAACAACAGCATTACAAACCTGGGTCTAACCTGCTACCTGAGGCCTGCTTCTGACAGTGACACCTACCCACTGCCCCATAAAAAGATACTGTTGTGTGAGCCTAGGCAGCACCAAGGCTCAGATTTCTTATGTGAAAACAGAGCATATTAATACACCAATTCCAGCTTAGCAGCAGATGGATTGGGTTATGGGTATATTTTATTAACCCAATCTGAAAATCTAGATTGATAAAGCTGGTTAAATTTAGAGGATTGTGTGCTCTGCAAAAAGAATTCTCATAGGAGTTCTTTAGCAGCCTTTCCTGACATATTTAGAATGTTTTTGATTTTCACACGATGTGTCAGAAAAGCAGCTTTTGTTTTAAAGTATATTTATCCCCTTAGTGGAAGTCCATTTATTCAACAATATATCTTTAGTGCCCTCTGCCCTCTGAAATTAGTACTGCATGACACTAAATTAACCCTCACTTGGTAACTGAAGTGGCACCAAAAAATCTTTTTTTTTTTTGTGAGTCTCCTAGGCTGGAGTGCAGTAGTGCGATCATAGCTCACTGCAAGCTTTGAAATCCTTGGTTGAAGCCATCTTCCTGCCTCAGCCTCCCAAGTAGCTGGGACCACAGGCACACAGCACCTTGGCAAGCTAATTTTTAAAAATTTCTTTTAGGGATGGAGTCTCTAACTCCCAGGCCCAAGTGATCCTCCAGCCTCAGTCTTCCAAAGTGCTGACATTACAGGTGTGAGCCACCATGCCCAGCCCAAAAGAGCTTAACTCTGTTAAATGCATTGGGTATGAAATAGCAAGAGGTAGAGGATATGTTGTATTTTTAAATGAAAATGTTGAAAGCATGTTTTTATACCTAGACTGTCTCAAACTCTGAATAATTTATGTATGTACTTTGTTTCCCTAGTGTAACTCAGCTCCACCTGAAGGATAATTGTTTATCTGATGCTGGGGTGCGGAAGATGACAGCACCAGTTCGAGTGATGAAAAGAGGCCTTGAGAATCTAACGTTATTAGACTTATCATGTAAGTTTTCTTAGAAATTATAGATTATTTTAATGTTGGAAGAATGGCCTTAGAGATCATCTTGTTCTTCCCCTTCATTTTAGAGGTAAGAAAGGAAAGGTGACTTTCCAGGGTGCCATAGAAACTTGGTGGCAGAGCGGGACCGAGGCCAGAGACTCTTGACTCCTGGTCAAATGACTTTTCCAGCATATACCACCTCTTTAGGGTAGGAAAAACCCTTTCACATTCATCCATGCCACTCGCTGTGTGCAAACAGAGATACCTTTCATCATATTCATTGCATACTTAAAGGACTTTTGACTCATCTTTATTTTCCTTGAGCCTCTGATCCTTGGTATCTGTCAGCTAGGTCCTTTTTTTATCAATGTTTGCCTGATGAAAAGCTGGATGAACGGATAACTTACTCGAATTAACAAGACATTGACTCCAATGGTAAAAGGTTGACAGAGATCATTTGCAATTGAACTGAGCATCCATTGACTCTATGGCAGGACAGTATGGTGCCAAAAGAATAGAAAGAGCAGGGGTTTGAGGTCCGAGGACCCTTCTTGCTCTGCCACTTTTACTACCAGTTATATACCTTCGGACCAGTTATTTAACCACTTTGAGCATTGGTTTTGGCCTTTGTAAAATGAGGATAATAATGAATGTCCTGTCTGCCTCCCAGGGAAGTGTATTCATTCACCAGATATTTTTTGAGCATCTATAATGTGCCAGGCAGTATGCTTATGGCCTTGAGGATTCGATGCTAAGTGTAGTACTCTCTGACGCGAGAAAGTAATATATAAGAAAGGATTCTGAAAAAAAATGCAAGTTGGTAAGAGTGGTGATAGTATCTCTGTCTAAGTTCCCTTGAATATGTTTTTAAAATAAATGCTTTTACTTTGGAGGTGAAATGGCCATGAATAAAGTATGGTGAACCATTTTAATACATGTTTATATATGTTTTCATATGGTTCCAAATTAAACCCTTTGGGATAACTACCTGGTTCATTTATTTTTCTGCTCATCCCCAACTCCTAGAAAGTAAGAGCTGTAAAGGATCTTTAAGGATCATTGAGTGTAGCTCTTCTATATTATGAATAGTAAAGATCAGACTTCTGCATTTAATTTACTTTGAAAAGTTTGCCAACTCAAATGTTTTGTAGTTTATCATTGCCTGGACTTTTTTCTGAGCTTATTTTTGGTTGTCATTTTAACAACATTTATATTGTAACAGAATGCTACCTTGTTTTTGACATCTAGGTAACCCTGAGATCACAGATGCAGGCATTGGATACCTCTTTTCTTTTAGGAAACTAAACTGCTTAGATATCTCTGGGACAGGGCTCAAGGTAAGACTTTTGGTTCCTTCGCTCGTTTTTCTAGACTCAGCAATTTGATATTTTGCCTGTGCTAATTGGTATTTAGAAAGGGCTGGTATTTATGATGGTCTTTATTTACTACTGAAAGCAAGTAAGAATTAACCAAATGCATTTGCATTTCTGATCTGTCTCTGCCTCACTAGGATATCAAAACCGTCAAGCACAAGCTCCAGACCCACATAGGCCTTGTTCACTCCAAAGTGCCTTTGAAGGAATTTGATCATAGTAACTGCAAGACAGAGGGCTGGGCTGACCAGGTACTCCAGATTTTTCTTCCCTGCTGTTGATGCAGTTTTTCATCTTAATTCCAAGTGTCTTATCCAACACATTGAATAAACAGTAATCCACTTGGTATTCCTTGGCTAAATTGTCATTGTCATCTTCATGTCAAATTGGAGACACTGATGGTCTATAACTGGCCCATATACTTAAAGAATTGATACCAGACCTTATATCTCATGCTCTGGTCACTAGATTGTGCCTTATCTTTACTGGACCTAGGACAAAATGTCATCTTACAAATGACTCAGAAAATAAGTGAATTCTGGCTTGCTATACAAAAAAGCAGTCTGACCCAACTTCAGAAGGACGGATTCTCTTAGTAGTATGTATATACAGGAGAGAGAATAAACTCTGGTGTCAGCAAATAAGGATTCAAATATGATTCTTCTCTTTCTTTTAGGAAAGTTTCTTACCTCCCACGGCCTTAGTGAGAAAGTGTCTCTCATGTCCGTCTCTCACTGAGTCTTACCAGTGAGAGAACTTTACTTTGACTCCCTTTTGTCTTGATGGTCTTTCTTCACTTGGTAAAGTACAGACTTAAGTGAGATTCAGAGTCTTCTATGTAAGTTGGAAGTGAGAAAGTAACCAAGTAGGACAGCACAAGTAGATGTCACCTTCCCTGTGACTGGTGCCTTTCTCCTTTAGATGCTTTTAACCAGTGTTTCTTGGTGGAGGCCTAGAGGACCCACCAAACTGTCCAGGATCCCTTCTTAGCTCCAAGCCATAATGCATAATGGTAGAACTGTCTACCTGCTGGATTGTAGCATCACCTCTCCACAGTAAGCAGGGAGACTGGTGAGTTGTGTTTCAGAAGCACACTGAGCTTGGTCCAGAACATGCATGATGAAAGAATTACCATGGTGCATTGCCAGATAAAGTTTCTAGTGCTGTATGAGACCTAGATGCATCCAGTGGACTTGGGACAGGTGTGGGATGGTCTTACAAAGGCTTGCTGCAGTTTGATAGCAGGTGACATGGTGGAAAGAGCATAGGCTGTGGAGCCAGAAAGACCTGGGCACGGAATCCTGGCTCAGCAGCCCAATAGCTGTACAACCTAAAGCAACTTTCAGTCTCTGTCTTCATCCATAAAATGCAGAAACCAGGCTCTCTCTTGAGCAGGGCTTGGGAAGGATCAAGTAGAATACCTGACAGCCTGACCTGAGAGTAAGTTGATGACCAGTGCAGTCCTGCCCTCCACCCTCAGCTGGGCCCCTAGGACTTGGTAGCAATGCTTTGCTTTGCTTATGTCTTGGGGATCTGTTATTGAAACTGTTGCATACTGACTCCACTCACCTGCCCTCATTCTTGTCTCACAGGGGTCCACTTAATTCCCTATTTCTGTCTCAGAATTTCTCCATTTCTTCAACCATATTCCACTTCCCTACTATTGGAGAGAACAAGTATGCTCCTTTATTCTAGTCACAAGCCCTTTTTTTTCTTTTTTAAAAAATTTTATTCCTGAAGATATCCAGTTTCCCTTGTGATAATTACTAATAATGATTTTTCCCTCCTGCCCCTGCCCAGCATGTCTTCATTTGTCCCTCTTTGTTGTCCATCTACTTTCTGTAGATAAATGCAAGATGTCCTTATTCTAGCATGGTTCTCATTCCCCAGTGCAGCTGTGCATTGTTTCCTGTCCAGTCTGCCCCATCCCCTCGGTGCCTACTCAGTTCTTACTCCCTTGCGACTTAGTTCTGGCCTCTCCTGCTCTCCTGACAGGGTCCTCTTGAAGGTGGGTGGTGATATTCTTTACCTTCTTTGGCTTTCCTGCAGCATTTGATAGAAACATGCATGCCTTATTATTTTTCTCTGGGCCTCTCTCCTGGCTCTCCCACAGCTTTCTCACTCTTCTGGCTGTGGCTGATTCCTCTTTCTTCCTCTCCTCTTCTCCCACATCTCCACACTCCCCAGGTGCTCTTTCAGTGTTCTTAGAGCTCCAGCTGTCCTTGCGAGGATGACTGTGCATTCCTCTCTAGACACTAGACCCATTCCCAGGTATCCTCTGTAAATCTCCACCTGCCATCTCAAATTCAGCTTGTCCCAAACCGAACTCATTTTCTTCTTCCCCATCCCCGACCAGCTCTTATTGACATTCTTATTTCTGTTTAATGGAAGGAAGCACCATTTTCCCTATTGCCCACTGAGTCAACACGTTTGATTAATCCATCCTGGTGTTCCCTGAAATCCGTTCCCATTTTTATCACCAGGAAATTATAGAAGAGATGGCAACTAATATTTATTAAGTGCCTTTTGTGTACCAGACACTGTGCTAAACTCTTTATGTATATTATCTTGTTTAATCCTTAAAATAGCCCTATGGAGTGTGTACTATCGTTGATCCTTAACAGATGAAGAAATTGAGACTAAGAAATCACTTGCCATGGGTCCCCTGGCAATTAAGTAGTGGAGCCAACTCTGGAACTGGTTTTTTGTTTGTTTTTAAATAGAGATGGCGTTTCACCATGTTGCCCAGGCTGGTCTCGAACTCCTGGGCTCAAGAAATCCTACCACCTCGGCCTCCCAAAGTGCAAAGATTATAGGTGTGAGCCACTATGCCTGGCCTGGAACTGTATTCTTTTTTTTTTTTGAGACAGTTTTGCTCTGTCGCCCAGTCTGGAGTGCAGTGGCGTGATCTTGGCTCACTGCAACCTCCGCCTCCTGGGTTCGAGTGATTCTCATGCCTCAGCCTCCCGAGTAGCTGGGACCACCACGCCTGGCTAAATTTTGTATTTTTTAGTAGAGACAGGGTTTCATCATGTTGGCCAGCCTGGTCTCGACTGCGATCCGCCTGCCTCGGCCTCTCAAAATGCTGGGATTACAAGTGTGAGCTACTGAGCCTGGCCTGGAACTATATTCTTAAATTCAGTGTTGTACTGCCTATGTCCTGAAAATGTTTTTCTTGACCTTTTTTATGGTCATTTCATTGCATTCCATAATAAAAAAATATTAATTTAAAAGTTCTTGTTATTGTGGGTATATGAGAGGATCATTAGTTTTCTTTCTTTTTTTTTTTTTTTTTTTTGAGACTGGAGTCACTCGCGCCCATGGCTGGTGCAGTGGGCATGATCTAGCTTACTACAAGTCCGCCTCCTGGCGTTGACACCATTTCCTCGTTCGCCCCTTCCGGTGCTGGACTACAGGCGCCCCGCCACGCCAGCTAACTTTTTTTGTATTGTTGTAGAGGCGGTGTTCACCGTGTTAGCCGGATGGTCTCGATCTCCCTGACTTGTGATCGCCTGACCTCGGCCTCCCAAAAGTGCTGGGACATTACAGGGGTGACACCCAGCCCGGCCTTAGCTCTTTCTTTATGTTATAGTTCTATATTCAGGCATATTTCTTTTCTTTTTTTTGTTGAGGACTGAGTCATCGCTCTGTGCGCCCGAGGCTAAGAGTGCAATGGGGTGATCTCAGCTCACTGCAAGCTCCGGCTCCCGGGTTCCACGCCCATTCTTCCTGCTCAGCTCCCGGGAGCTGGGACTACAGGCGCCCCCACCCACCATGCCAGGTAATTTTTTTTTTGTATTTTTAGTAGAGAGGGGTTTCACTGTGTTAGCCAGGATGGTCTCGATCTCCTGACCTCGTGATCTGCCCGCCTCGGCCTCCCAAAATGCTGGGATTATAGGCATGAGCCACCGGGCCCAGCCACTTATTTCTAAAAGAATTGGTAGCAGCTTATAATAAAAACATATTTCTAACAGTTTAAAAAGTAAAAACTGGTCATGATAATGTTATGAGAGTATGGAAACATGGGCGTTTTACATACAACAGTTTGAGTTATAGTTGGAGTATTTTAAGGCACGAGAGTAAGTCTAGGAATGTGTGGAAAGTGTTATGACTAAAGTTTTAAGTTTTAATATTTAGTTTAAGGATATATAATTTATTTCCAGCTTGGAATAAAGATGAAAATAGACAGGGAAATCAGCTTTATAGATTTCCCTTAGTCATGCAGATACATATATCCAACGTGTTTGCATTCTGACTCAACTCCTGCATTAGAACAGAAAACTCAGACTTGACTTGGTTCTTATTCTTATCACCAGGCATCTGAAGTAAAATTTCCCAGAGGGGTTTGTGCTTATGGAGAGGGAAAAAGGGGGAACAAGAAAGGCTTGAGATTAAAATCTTGAGATTTTGTTTGGATTCAAATCTTTCCAAATATGTTTCAGATCGTTCTGCAGTGGGAGCGTGTGACTGCGGAAGCTGTGAAGCCACGGGAAACCTTAGAGCCTAGAACGGCAGCTCAGCGATTCTGTGAGAAATTCCCTTTCCTTTGAAGTTTTTTGCCCTTTATTTGCATCCTTAAAGCAGTTTCACCTGTTTTCCCTCCTTGGAAAAATTAATTATGGTAGTATTGGCTTATTTATGATCACCAAGACTTGTATTCCCTTAGCATAGCTTACAGTAGAAGTTCACACTTAGCTTTGAGCATCAGCACCAGGAAGACAGCTTTTTAAAATTACTTATGTACCATCTTGTTCCAAAAAAGATTTGTGGTGGTACAAAAGTAGATAGAATACAGAAGATGAAAAAGGAATTAAGTGTAGCCAGAAGTTGGAATCAGCCCAGGTGTCCATCAACAGATAAATGGATAAACAAAATGTGAAATGTACGTACAATGTATTTCAGGCTTTAAAAGTAAGGAAACTTTGACACAACGTGGATGAGCCTGCAAGATGTTATGCTAAGCAAAATAAACTAGTCACAAAAGGACAAATACTATGTGATTGTTCTTTTATAAGGTAGCTAGAATAGTTAGATTCATAGAACAAGCAGAATGGTGGTGGTGACTAGGGAGGCAGGGGTGGCACAGGCAGGAATAGGGAGTTATTGTTTAATACGTGCAGAGTTTCATTTGTACAAGGTAAAAAGAGTTCTGGAGATGGATGGTGATGATTGCACCACAATGTGAATGTCCTTAATACCGCTGAACTGTACACTTAAAAATGGCGCAAATGGTAAACTTTATGTTATGTATATTTTATCATGATTTTAAAAGAGAAGGAATTGATGAAATCAAAGTGAAGAAAATATAAAGGTACCAAGTAAGAATCCAGGACATACCAAAAAAAATGTAAAATAGGTTGTATCGTTTGCTCTTTGGCCCTTAGAAGACGGAGTCAAATCCAGATTTCAAATAATGAAGGCTAACATTTTGGGGGCTTTTAGTGTGTGTCAAGCATTGTGCTAATCACTTTATGTACATTATTTCATTTATCTTCATATTACCCTTATGAAATAGGTTTTGTATCCCTATAGAGGTGATTAAACAGAATTTCAGACAAGTCACTTGCCCACGGTCACTTCTAGGAAGAGGCAGATCTAGGATTTAAATCCAAATCTGTCAAACTGTAGTACGAGTCCTTGCCTTCAACCTATGCCTGCATGCATACCACAGCGACCTTACAGGGCACTCAAGGCAAAATGCAGTCAATGCAGATATCACCCTGTTTGGGCCTTTGTCATATCCCTGGGGGTATCCTAGACTGATGAGGGGATTAGCATGCCAGTGTAGTGAACTCATCACCCTTCACCTCTGTCACAGATGGGAAGCGGTCTCGAGCAGAAGCCCCACTGAAGTGTCCCCTGACAGACCCCCACATGAACTCTTCTGAGAAACTCCAGTTCTATAAAGAGAAAGCCCCAGATTGCCACGGGCCAGTGTTGAAACACGAAGCTATCTCAAGCCAGGAGTCAAAGAAGAGCAAGAAGAGACCTTTTGAGGAGTCAGAGACAGAACAGAATAATTCTTCACAACCTTCAAAGCAGAAATATGTATGTCTTGCTGTGGATGACTGGGACTTGTTAAATTCCTATTGATTAGTAGATACAGGTTGACCTTTCTCTGGCCCCCAGCTCTAATGTTTGAGTAAAGGAAACTGAGGATGATTTACTTTTTGTTTGAATTTACCTATGGCATTAGCATAGCAAGCAGATATTTCTACTTTTGTGGTGGGGGAGGGGAATGCTATGGAAGTAAGTAATAATTTCTAATGTATATTTTCAATACATAGTAATTTTTTCAAATAAACATTTTTGCTGTCCTTAAGTTCTGCTTGTGGATTATAGATTGGAGCCGCAGGAAATAACACATTGGTTTGGAATGGAAGGCCAGGTGAACTAACAAGGCAGCTTAGCATACCTCAGAGATACTGCAGATTTGGTTCCAGACCACCGCAGTAAAGCAAACACTGTAAAGTGAGTCACCAGACTTTTTCATTTCCTAGTGCATATAAAAGTTATGTTTTCACTATATAGCAGTCTATTAGATATTCAATAGCATTGTCTCCAAAAAACAAAAAAAAGTACATACCCTAATTTTAAAATACTTTATTGCTAAAAAAAAAAAAAGAAGAAGAAAAGAAAATGCTAACAATTATCTGAGCCTTTAGCAAGTTCCAGTTGTTTTGTTGGTGGCTGGGGGGGTCTTTCCTTTGTTGGTGAATGGATGCTAACTAATCAGGGTGGTGGTTGCTGAAGGTTGGAGTGGCTGTGGAAATTTCTTAAAATAAGACAATGAAGTTTGCCACATGGACTGACTGTTCTTTCATAAAATATTTTGCTAGAGCACACAATGTTGTTTGATAGCATTTTACCTGCAATGGAACTTCTTTCAAAATTGGAGTCAGTCCCCTCAAACCCTGCTGCTGCTTTCTCGACTAAGTCTATGTAATATTCTCCATCCTTTGTTGTTTCAACAATGGTCACATCTTTACCAGGAGTAGATTCCATTTCAAGAAACCACTTACTTTGCTCATCCATAAGAAGTAAGTCCTTATCCTTTCAAGTTTTTTCATGAGATTGCAGCATTTCAGTCCTGTCTTCAGGCTGCAATTCTAGCTTTCTTGCTGTTTCTACCACATCTGCAGTTTCTTCCTCCACTGAAGTTTTGAACCCCTCAAAGTCATCCATGAGGGTTGGATTCAACTTCCAAACCTTGGTTAATGTTGACTTTTGGGTTTTTTTTGAGACAGAGTCTTACTCTGTGGCCCCAGCTGGAGTGCGGTGGCATGATCTCAGCTCACTGCAACCTCTGTCTCCTGGGTTCAAGTGATTCTCCTGCCTCAACCTCCCAAGTAGCTGGGATTACAGGTACATGCCACCATGCCTGGCTAATTTTTATATTTTTAGGAGAGATGGGGTTTCACCATATTGGCCAGGCTGGTCTTGAACTCCTGATCTCAAGTGATCCACGCCTCAGCCTCCCAAAGTGCTAGGATTATAGGAGTGAGCCACCACACCCGGCCTAATGTTGATATTTTGACCTCTTCCTATGAATCACAAATGTTCTTAATGGCATCTAGAATGGTGAGTCTTTTCCAGGAGGGAAAGTTTAGTTTAGTTTTGTTTTTTGAGACAGGGTCTTGTTCTGTCGCCCAGGCTGGAGTGCAGTGGTGTGATCACAGCTCACTGCAGCCTCTACCTCCTGGGCTCAGGTGGTCCTCCCACCTCAGCCTTCCAAGTAGCTGGGACTACAGGTGCATGCTGTCACACATGGCTGATTTTTGTATTTTTTGTAGGGATGGGGTCTCACCATGTTGCCCAGGCTGATTTCCTGGGTCCAAGAGATCTGCCCACCTCAGCTCCCAAAGTGCTAGGATTATACGCGTGAGCCACTCACCTGGCCTCCAAGAGGTTTTTAATTTACTTATTTACGTTGTCCAGATCTGTTAGAGGAGCCACTATCTATGGCAGCTATTGCTTTATGAAACATATTTAATAATAAGACCTGAAAGTTGAAATTACTCCTTGATCCATATGCTGCAGAATAGGTGGTGTTGTAGCAGGCATGAAAACAACATTCATCTTGTAAGTTTTTAGGTGATCAGGTACATTGTCTATGAACAGAAATATTTTGAAAGTGCCTCTAATTTGTGGACTACACACTGAGTAGCAAAGCTCTAGACCTTTACTGTCCAATATGTAGCTCTTAGATACATGTAGCTATTAAATACTCGAAATGTGGCTGGTCCAAATTGAGATGTGCTATAAAATACACGCTGGATATCGGATAGCAAAGACTTAGTATCCAAAAGTTTGAATGAAAAATGTTTCGGTCGGGGACATGGTGGTTCACGCCTGTAATCCCAGCACTTTGGGAGGCCAAGGTGGGCGGGTCACGAGGTCAGGAGATCGAGACCATCCTGGCTAATATGGTAAAACCCCGTCTCTACTAAAAATACAAAAAATTAGCCAGGTGTGGTGGCATGCGCCTGTAATTCCAGCTACTTGGGAGGCTGAGGCAGAAGAATCCCTTGAACTCGGGAGGCGGAGGTTACAGGTGAGTGAGATTCCGTGCCACGCACTCACTGACAGAGACAGGACAAATCCGTCCACCAAAAACAAAAAAAAAAGAAAGAAAAGCTCCATTTGAAACATGCGTACATGTTAAAAGGTAGTTTAAAATAATTCACTGTTCATATTTTCCATATGGCAACCTAGAAAGTTTAAAATCACATTCATGGCTCTGCATTTGGATTGCATTTTATTTACGACAGGACCACCCTAGACCATATTCATCTTTAAAACATGAGCTAAAAGCAAGAGTTACTGGCAAATAAAAGGAAGGGAGAAAATACCTCAAGAAATTGACAACGTTAGTTTGACATTTGCAAGTGCTCTGGAGTTTAACCAGGATTTTATTTATTATTTATTCATTATTTTTATTGTTTTTTAACTTTTAGGCTCAAGGGTCCTTGTGGTGATTTGTCACATAGGTAACTTACATCTCATAGGGGTTTGGTGTATAGATTACTTCGTCACCCAGGTAATAAGCATAGTTAGTACCCAATAGGTAGTTTTTCGATCCTCTCCTTCCACCGTCAACAGGCACCCAGTGTCTGTGGTTCCCTTCTTTGTATCCATGTGTATTCAGTGTTTAGCTCCCACTTGTAAGTGAGAACATGCAGTCTGTGGTTTTCTGTCTAACCAGGATTTTAATAAAGGTAGATCTTAGATATAGTATGTGTTAATTGCTACTCTGAGCTAGGCAAGGTACTTACCTCTGTAAAGGTGGGCCATTACCCAGGATCATATCAAAAGCTCTGATTTCTGAAATTTATAAGATGAAAAAGCAAATACAGTGCAGATTGGTTTTCTCTGTAACAAAGTAGAGTTTTAAAATACCATTTGAGGGCGGGCACAGTGCCTCACGCCTGTAATCCCAGCACTTTGGGAGGCGAAGGCGGGCGGATCACTTTAGGTCAGGAGTTCAAGACCAGCCTGGCCAACATGGTGAAACCCCGTCTCTACTAAAAATACAAAAATTAGCCAGGCATGGCGGTGGGTGCCTGTAATCCCAGATGTTCGGGAGGCTGAGGCAGGAGAATTGCTTGAACCCAGTAGGCAGAGGTTGCAGTGAGCCAAGATCACGCCACTGCATTCCAGCCTGGGCAACAGACAGCAAGACTCCATCTTTAAAAACAAAACAAAAAAATCATTTGAGTGGACAGTAGCACTCCTTGCCAAATTCCAAATGCCAGTCAACAGCTGGCTTTACTTGTCAAAGTTGGCATGTATTGTTCATCAAACCAGAGTCTAATTTGATCACCCCCTCATGCACATAATACCACCACCACCTGACTCCACTGTTGCCTGTGGTGCAATGCCATGTTAACAAGTAGCATCTGGAATTACTCTTCAAACATCCACCCATTTTGATCACTGTGGAAGGCAAATCTTCCTTCCACATTTACCCCTTAAGAGCAACTTGTGCTCACTTCTCTTTTATCAACCCAGTATACTTTTAAAGCTAAGATTTCATTTTCTTCAATCCTTTTTTTCAAGAAGCACATTTTTCTCTGCTGGTGATTCCTTTAAACAAATATTTCTTGTTTTGGTCTGAGCAATTCATTTTTTGAAACAGAGTTATAGAAGTCTAGGCTTTGTTTTCATGACTGAGATGAAGGCTAAGAATTTATGACCAGCATACAATAGATAGGGTAATTTGTGTGTTCGTGTAATTTACATGTGAGGATAGGCTGTTTTTTAAAATTAGAATTTGTTTCTGCCTTCTTAGAATTTACTTACTGAATCGTTATGAACTTTGCAAAGTGACTCAATTCCGAAAATCCTCATACCTCTTTAAAACTATGCTGCCTACCTACATAATGCTTACAAAAATGAATAAATCAGTATTTCTCCAAAACATGTTCTGTGAACCCCTGCCCCAGAGTTTTCTGTGGTATTTGTTAAAATGAAAATTCTTAGACCCCACCCATGTTTATTGAATCAGAATCTCGTATTTATTATTTATTTATTTGATATGGAGTCTTGCTCTGTTGCCCACGCTGGAGTGCAGTGGTGCAATCTCAGCTCACTACAACCCCCGCCTCCTGGGTTCAAGTGATTCTCCTTTCCCTGCCTCTTGAATAGCTGGGATTACAGGTGCCTGCCACCACACCTGGCTAATTTTTGTATTTTTAGTAGATACGGGGTTTCACCATGTTGGGCAAGCTGGTCTCGAACTCCTGACCTCAGGTGATCCTTCCAGTGCAGCCTCCCAAAGTGCTGGGATTACAAGCATGAACCACCGTGCCTGGCCTGAATCAGAATCTTTTAGTTTATGAAAATTACTTAAGAATCTGATATCAGGCCATTTTTTTTTCCATTTATTCATTTTTTAAAAACTAAGCCATTCATCAGTTTATTTGAACATGTGTCTGTTGGACACTTAACATGTACCAGGTGCTAGGGACTCAGCAATGAACAAGACAAAATACAGTATTTGCCTTTAAAGAGCACAGGGTGAGCCGGGCGCGGTGGCTCAAGCCTGTAATCCCAGCACTTTGGGAGGCCGAGACGGGCGGATCACAAGGTCAGGAGATCGAGACCATCCTGGCTAACACCGTGAAACCCCGTCTCTACTAAAAAATACAAAAAACTAGCCGGGCGAGGTGGCGGGCGCCTGTAGTCCCAGCTACTCGGGAGGCTGAGGCAGGAGAATGGCGTGAACCCGGGAGGCGGAGCTTGCAGCGAGCTGAGATCCGGCCACTGCACTCCAGCCTGGGCGACAGAGCGAGACTCCGTCTCAAAAAAATAAAATAAAATAAAATAAAGAGCACAGGGTGAGACAGACACAAAGTTAAGTGAACAGAACAGTCAATCAAGAAGCTAAGTTCACATAGTGATAAGTAAAGAAAATGGAATAGGGTAATGGGATATTGGGAGTTATGGAAAGTTAATTTAAATTTTTAATTAACTTAGGGGGTTACAGAAGGCCTCTCAGGGGAAGTGACGTTTGAGCTGAGAAGTATGATAAGAAGGAGCTGATAATGCACACATCTAGAGGAGAAGGGTCTCAGGGAAGGAAAGAAGAGTGCAAAAGTCAAGGTGGGAAATGTTTGGCACATTCAAGAGACAGAAAGAAAGACAAGTAGAGGGCCTGAGACTGGGCCTCAATCCTTCCCACACTTAAGATCAGGCAGAGAGCAGTAGATGTTGAGGTTGAAGATTAAACCCAGGAGAGCATTTAATATAAACTTAGAAATGTAAATGTTTCAACAAGAAGTGAGTAGTGAATGACTATTAGAAGAGGTGAGTTGGAGTTGGTGGCCTTAATTGGGTTGGGTGGAGAGATGAAAGTTAAAAACCTGACTGGATGTAGCTTAAAGAGAATGGGAGACAAGGGAGTAGAGACAAGAACTGCAGAAAATGTTCAGGAAGTTTTACTAGTTAAGGGAGTAAAAATTCAAACTTCTGGTAATAACAGGTCTTGGGGTCAAAAGAAGGTTTTCTTTCATAATTTTTATTCAGACATATTCAAAAGTAGAACAAACCCCCATGTACTCATTATCCATTGTGTTTGGGTGAATAATGGCCCCCAATGTCCATGTCATAATCCACAGAACGTGTGGATATGTTACACAGCAACAGGGACTTTGTGTGTGTGATTAAATTAAGGATCTTGAAGAGAGATTATCCTGGATTATCTAGATGGGTTCAGTGTATTCACATAGACCCTTAGGGAGGCGGGAGGATCAAAGTCAATAGTAAATGGGTCAGGAGATGGGCCAGGAGTGGTGGCTCATGCCTGTAACCCCAGTACTTTGGGAGGTCAAGGCAGGAGGATCACTTGAAGCCAGGAGTTTGAGACCAGCCTGGGCAACATAGTGAGATCCCATCTCTACAAAGATAAAAATAAAAAATTTAGCCAGGCGTGGAGGCATGTACCTGTAGTCCCAGCTACTCTGGAGGCTAAGCAGGGAGGATTGCTTCAGTCCAGCAGTTGGAGGCTGCAGTGAGCTATAATTGTGCCACTGCACTCCAGCCTAGACAACAGAGACCTCATCTCTTTAAAAAAAAAAAGGTAGGAGATGTGCTCATATCTGTAATCCCAATGCTTTGAGGGGCCAAGTAGGGAGGATTGCTTAAGGTTAGGAGTTTGAGACCAGCCTGAACAACATAGCAAGACCCTGTTTCTACAAAAAAGAATTTTTTTAATTAACCAAGCATGATGGTGTGCACCTGTGGTGCTAGGTACTCAGGAGGCTGAGGCAGGAGGATCACTTGAGCCCAGGAGTTCAAGGCTGCAGTGAACAATGATCACACCACAGCACTCTAGCCTGGGTGACAGAGTGAGACCTTGTCTCTCCCCGAAAAAAAAAAAATAGTAAGAGATACAAAGATGGAAGCAAGAGGTTCAAATGACACACTGAAGAAGCCAAGAGCCAGAAAATGCAGTGGCCTCTAGATCCTAAAAAAGGCAAGGAAATGGATTCTCCCACAAAGCCTCCAGGCAGAAGGAAAATGCAGGAGAATGGGAAAGCCCACGGAGTGTTAAAGAGCCAGCCATTAGCTTTTCCAATCATGAAGTGCTTGGGACATTTGGCTTCTTGACAGGTTGTTTTTTTAAGTTAAAAATTCCTTAATATTTTATTCCTGGTACCACTACCACAATTTACAGGGCAATATACCTGATGTAATGAAAAGAAAAAGACAAAGCTACAACAGATGAAAGACCTCAGGAATGTACATCTAACTGACACTACATTGCATTAATCAATAGCTGCACTTTGTGCAAACTGTGGCTATGATACTCCTGAACAAGAAGGGTTTCCTGTTTAAGCTGCAGTAACTTTTCTGACTATGGATCATCGTTCCTTCTGTGGCAGATTTTTACAGTTCCTCTAATGCATTTGGTGTGACTGTCTCAAAGTAACCTGCAGCTTTCCTGACAACTCCTTGCTCTATCTCCTGCTAAGAGCTGTAGCCCTTTTCTGCTGTTTTTAGAACCTTCTGCTGCCATATCCACCACTTCCACCACCAGATCCATAACCACCACCATAGGGAATGCCCAAGCTTCTTCCACCAAAACTGCCCCCTTTCATGGGTCCATAATTTGATTGCTGTTGTCCACTGTAATTTCCAAAATCATTATAGTTCCCACCACCACCATAGTTACCACCGCCAAAATTTCCTCCTTCATTGTACCCATCATATCCTCCACCACCGCCACCATATCCACCACCTTGGTTTCCACATCCTGGTCCATCATGACCATAGCCCCCTCTACTACTATAACCAGGACCACCGCCATAGTTGCCACCATCACCTCCAGATCCATTATATCTACCATCACCTCCTCCATAACTACCTCTGCTGCCACCACCTCCACCACCATAGCCTCCTCTTCCATCACAGTTTCCACCATGGCCAAAATTACCTCCACCACCTCCAAAGTTTCCTCCACAATAAAATTGCCAGATCCACCTCCACGACCTCCCTGTGATCCAGCAGACTGCATCTCTTGTTTAGAAAGGGCCTTTTGCACTTCACAATTATGCCCATTAATAGTGTGGTATTTCTGAACAACAATTTTATCAACTGTATCATGATCATCAAAAGTTGCAAAAGCAAATCCTCTCTTTTTTCCACTCTGCCCATCTTCCATAACTTCTGTGGTTAATCTTGCCATACTTTCCGAAGTAGTTCTCTCAAATTATATTCTTCTGTGTCTTCTTTAACACCACCAACAAAAATGTTCTTCACTGTTAGACGGGCGCCAGGCTTTACAGAATCCTCTCTGGAAACAGCTCTCTCTGGTTTGACTACACGCCCATCAACCTTGTGTGGTTGAGCACACATTGCTGCATCCACCTCTTCAACACAAGAACAAGTCACAGAACCAAAGCCCCTGGAATGTTTTGTTTGGGGGTCTCTCATTACCACACAGTCCGTGAGTGTGCCCCATTTCTCAAAATGTTCTCTGAAACTATCATCTGTAGTTTCAAAGCTCAGACCACCAATAAACAGTTTTCTCAACTGCTCTGGTTCGTTTGGATCGTGGCCCTCCTCCCTCCAGCAGCGACGGCTAGAGCCAGGCTGGGGTCAACAGGTGGCGGTTTTACCTCCATTTGGAGACCGGACTTGCCTCTTCCAACTCAAGTTCAATATGGGACTGAGAGCCTCTTGACAGGTTTTGCAGAGTTGACTTGCAGATTTTTTTCTGGTTTGAGATTCTCCCTACTCCCTACTCCCTACTCCATTAACACTGAGTTTTAATGTTAAACTTAGCTTTGCTCCTTTGGAATCCTGTAAGTAGACAGAGGTAATAGCAAGTCAAAATAAATAGAATGTCTTACTAGAAGGCCTTGCTCTGTTTCTGATCTCTCCTCTGAAAGTCTTTTTGCAGCTTTGTTTTGGGAGAGCCATGAAGGTGTAGCTTTGGAATAGATTTGTAAGAGAATATTCTGGCAATGGTAAGTGCTACATGACTCCTGGTGAGTAAAGATCAATGGCCCAGCTTTTCTGACCACCTTTAAAATGTATATTTTGCCATATGTTTTATGAGTTATCATGAACCCCAAGTTAGGAGTCCTTAATACACTGGGTGCTGAGCCCTGGCCATACTTGTATTCTCTCAATTGGAGAAGAGAAATTACATCATGGAATTCCTAGGTTGGCCTGACCAGGCCCACTTGGACTTCCTGCTGTTGTGGTTTTCCTCTTGAGTTTCCGTAGTAGAGGTCTCCTCTGCCTCTGCTTCAGCTTCCTGCTCCCAGCAACTCCCTCCTGGCCTCAGCTTTCAAAGATGGTTCTTCAGGCCCAGAAGGATCAGCCTGAGACTGGAATTGGAAAATCCAGGCTCTAGTCCAGATTCTTCCACTTGCCAACAAATCTCTTCCCTTCTCTGGGCTTTGGTTTCCTCCGCCATAAAAAAGAAGACAGCACCTTTCCCCGGCCACCCAACTGACTAGGAAGTGAGGAGCGCCTCTGCCTGGCCACCAACCGTCTGGGAAATGAGGAGCGCAAAAAAAAAAGTCCGGGTATGGTGGCTCACACCTATAATCCCTGCACTTTGGGAAGCCAAGACAAGAGGATCACTTGAGGCCAGGAGTTTGAGACCAGCCTGGCCAACCTAGTGAGGCCCTGTCTCCACACATGCAAAAAAATTATCCAGGTGTGGTGGCACGCTCCTGTAGTCCCAGTTACTCAGAAGGCTGAGGAGAGAGGATTGCTTGAGCCCGGGAGTTTGAGACTACAGTGAGCTAAGAAGGTGCCACTGCACTCCAGCCTGGGCAACAGAGACCCTGTCTCTTAAAAAATAAATAGGCTGGTTGTAGTGACTCACTCCTGCAATCCCAGCACTTTGGGAGGACAAGGCAGGCAGATCACTTGAGGTCAGGAGTTCGAGACCAGCCTGGGTGAAACCCCATCTCTACTAAAAGTACAAAAATTAGCTGGGTGGGGTGGCACATGCCTGTAATCCCAGCTACTCGAGAGGCTGAGGCAGGAGAATTGCTTGAACCTGGGAGGCGGGGTTTGTAGTGAGCCGAGATTGCTCTACTGCACTGCGGCCTGGGCAATAGAGCGAGACTCAGTCTCTAAATAAATAAATAAATAAATAAATTTAATGTAAAGGCAGGGCGTGCTGGCTCATGCCTGTAATCTCAGCACTTCGGGAGGTCAAGGTGAGTGTATCACCTGAGGTCAGGAGTTTGAGACCAGCCTGGCCAATGTGGTGAAACCCCATCTCTACTAAAAATACAAAAAATTAGCCAGGCATGGTGGCAGGTGCCTGTAACCCCAGCTACTCGGGAGGCTGAGGCAGGAGAATGGCTTGAACCCGGGAGGCGGAGGTTACGGTAAGCCGAGATTGCGCCACTGCACTCCAGTCTGGGCAATAAGAGCAAAGCTCTTTCTCAAAAAAAAAAAAAAAAAAAAACTAAAAAAAAGACAATAACAAACTTGCTTGATAGAATTGTTATAGGAATTAAATGATATGATATGGTGAAAGTGCATTAAATTATAAAGTGTAATCCAGAAGTTATCTAATTATATTTATTCCTTATGGAATCTTTGAATATTCTCATAGCTCTTCATTTTACAAATGGAGAAGCTGAGGCTCAAAGATAAGTTTACTCATTGTGATAGTTCATCTTATGTGTCCAGTTGGCTAGGATATAGTGCCCAGTTGTTTCGTCAAACACCAGTCCAAAATGCTGCTGTGAAAGTATTTTTCAGATGAGCTTAACTTTTAAACCAGTGGACTTTGAGTAAAGCAGATTACCCTCCAAAATATGGGAGTCATCCAGTCCGTTGAGTATCTTAAGAGAAAAGACAGGTCCCCTAAAGAAGAAGGAATTCTGCCTCCTGACTGCCTTTGAATTCAAGACTTCAGCAACAACTCCTGCTGGAATTGCCATCCGATTGACCTGGCCTGCAGATTTCAGACTTGCTAGGCCCCCACAACTGCATGAGTCAATTCCTTAAAATAAATATCTCTCTCCCTACCTCTCTCTATGTATATATTTAGATATAGATTATAGATAGGTTATAGATCTAGGTACATATACACAGATACCCTCTATTGATTCTGTTTCTCTGAATAATCCTTACTGATGTATTCATCCTGTCCCTCATGAAGCAAATAATTATTAGGCACCTACTGTGGGCTCTGTTAGGCAAAGCAAATAAGACAGGGTCTCTGCCCTCAGGCAGGGAATAGACAAGTGACTTCCCACATACAATGTAGCGTGGGACCAGTGCTGTGTGTGGGCTGTGCTTTGGGAACTGTGGATCCCACAGTGGAGGCATATTAAAATGGGTAACTGAGAGCTGTGAGGCAGGACATGCTTCCCACAAGATAGTGATGCCTGAGTGAGTTTTGAAGGATGAATATGGATTAGCAAAGCCAAGAAGAGAGGGGCCAGACACTTCAGGCCCAGGAGAATGGGAAGCAGGGACAGCATCTCTGCACATGAGACCCTCGGGAGTTCCAGGTGGCTGGAGCTGAGGGGTGTTGGAGAGAGCTGAGCAGTGAAGCAAGAGCAGTAGCAGGGGACCCCTTTTAGAGATGCCCTTTATCCTGGAAGTCACAGGGAGTCCTCAAGGACTCCAAGCAGGGGAGACAGGGAACTGTGTTTCAGAAGAGTGCCTCTGCTACCAGGTGGAAGCCTACCTGGAGGGGACCTGTGAGGAGCCAGTTGAGGTCTGATGTGAGGCAGAGGATGGAGGAGGGATGACAATGACAGGTGACCATTCCCTCAGCATATGGCCGAGCTCCTATTACCAGTGAGGCCCTCTGCTCAGTGATGAAGCTCCATAATAAACAACACAGACTCTGCTTCTAGGGAGCTTGGTGATGGAACAAAGGGGCCTTGGCATTGACTATTGATCTGTTCATCTGAGGGTCAAGAGAGCTATGGGTCAGAGAGAGATTGGGAAGAAGCTAGGGTGAAACTAAAATCAGGGAGGAAAAATAGGCTTTGTGTTAAGAACCTGGAATTGTAGGCAAAATATTGTGCGTTTGGTTGGTTTTTTTCCCCACTCTGTAGAGAGGATCTACAGTCATTATCACATTCTCAAAGGGGAGAAAATATCCCCTCCAAGTTAGGAAACACTGAAATAGAATGCAGTGAGCAGATGGCGGAGGGTGGAGCCCCTGGGAATGGCAATATTGAAAGGGTGGCAGGCAGCGCACAGTGGCTCACGCCTGCAATCCCAGCACTTTGGGAGGCTGAGGTGGAGGGATCATTTGAGCCAGGAGTTCGAGACCAGCTTGGGCGACATGGTGAAACCTCATCTCTACAAAAAATACAAAAATTAGCTGGGTGTGATGGTGAGCGCCTGTAGTCCCAGCTACTCGGGAAGCTGAGGTGGGAGGATCACCTGAGCCTTGGAGGTCGAGACTGCAGTGAGCCGTGATCGCACCGCTACATTCCAGCTTGGGTGACAGAGTGACACCCTATCTTAAAAAAAAAAAATGAGGCAAAGGAAAAGGCAACTGAGAAGAAATGTTCAAAGAAAGAGGAAACAGGACAGTGCAGCCTTATGGAAACCTGGAGAGGGGAGCGTCCCAAGAAGCCAAGGACTGCTCAGCACCGCCTCCTGGTCCAGAGCAGGTAAAGGAGACCCGCAGACACCAGTCATTTGATTTGGAGTTGAAGAGGTGGGCAGAGAAGAACCTCCCAGAGAAGAAAGCCGTTTTAATATCAGGAAGCCCGTAGCACGACACACATTCATATGCTACAAGGAGCAAGCCAGGAGAATGAGAGCGGTCTCTGGCCACCAAGCTCCAGGCTGCATCAGTCCTTGCCCTTTGGGAAAGCGGTGGCCCCCAAGGAGCAAACGGAAACCAAGTGATAAGTGAATGACGGCAGCCACATGCAGCTGTTTAGGGAGGTTTGTTCAGATGCTTGAGAACCTGGATCCCAGGAGGAACAGCCAAATCCCAGTCCCAAGCCAAAGAGCTTGGGACTCTGCAACTTGAGAGGCCTCGGGGAGATGATCAACTGTTTTCAGAGGAAGGGCTTTCCTAGGGCAGAGGGAACAGGTATGTTTTCTGGATCCAGGACTAATTAAAGCAAGACAGAGTGGATTCAGTAGCAGAGGGAATTTTCTAAAATCCCAGCAGCCAAGAGGAGTAGCAAGGCCCTTGTGTTCAGAAGTGTGCAGAGGCTGGGTGATTATTTGGCAGGGCTGGTACACAGATGATCCCAACCTCAGGTCAGGGTTGGATTCCATGACCTTTAAAGTCCCTTCCAGACTTAGGAATATCTAACACTTATCAGATTTCTTTGTCATCTTGAAGGGTTTTGGAAAATGGTCAAAAAGACTATTGTGATACATTTTATTTTTTAAAAATCATGCTACATAAGGCTCATGAGGTTAGGGGTAGAAAGGGATAGTGTGGCTTAAAAAAATAGCACATCTAGCAAGTATTATACCTCTTAAGAAGGAAATCATTGACTAGGGTTTGGATCAGTGGTTCCCAAAGGTCACTTGAGGGCAGATAACCCCCACCCCACTATTTTAACTCTAAGAGCCCAGGTTGGACCCAAGTTGGACCCAGGAATCTATGTTTTAAATAAGCAACAGTGCTCCACCCCCATCAAAAATCTGATGTGGCGGATCCCAGGACTCCTCTTTTGAGAAACTGGGTGATGACGGACTGAGGATAGCAACAAGTCTCCAAATAAAGTGCTCTATAAATGGCGATGTGCTTTGCAGTTGGGGAAAACAAGGCTCAGCAGTGTGGAACATGTGCCGGGACAGGCTGGAGGCAAGTGTAAATCCCAGATCGACCTCAGGTCCAGGTATTTCCACTTGGCATTGAGTAGGCTCAATGGAGAATTTTGCAGGCCTTGATCTCATTCACTTTCATCACTCCCACCTGGACAAAACAGGAGGCTCAAATCATTGCCTCAGTCTCCTGGTCTATAAAATGAAATAATGGTGGTTGGGCCTGTATTCTCCATGAACGAGGGAGAACAAATCTACAAAGTATGGACCCCCAGGACTGAGTGGGGCTGGAACCTCTGGAGAAAGCTGCTGTGGGCTAAATGTTTGTGTCCCCCTGAAATTCATGTTGAAACTCTAATCCCCAGGGTGATGGTATTTGGAGGTAGGGCCTTTGGGAGTGGGAGTAATTAGGTGAGGGTTAGAATGATGAGGGTGGAGCTCCCATGATGGAATCAATGCCCTTATAAAAGGAGGAAGAGGCCGGGTGCGGTGGCTCATGCCTGTATCCAGCACTTTGGGAGGCAAGGCAGGTGAAATCAACCTGAAGCCAGGAGTTCAAGACAGCGCTGACCAACATGGTGAAACCCCACCTCACTGAAAATACAAAAATTGGGCCAGGTGTGGTGGTGCATGCTGTAATCTCAGCTACTCGGAGGGCAGGAGAATAGCTTGAACCTGAAGAGGTGGGTTCAGTGAACTGAGGATCGCACCACTGCACTCCGCCTGGGTGATGAGTGAGATTCATCTCTAAAAAACTAGATAAAAAGAGAAGAGAACACAGTGCTCTCTTGCTCTCTCCTCCTCTACCCACCCCTCGTTCCTTCCTACTTCTCCCCCTCCTCCCTGAATGCTTG